ACAGCAAATTCCCCATTGGCTATCTATTTTACATATGGTGATGTAAGCTTCCACGTTACTCTTTCCATACATCTCACCCTCTCCACAGAAGTACGTAAATATATACCCATCCTGTTGGCTGGCAGAGCCATATAAAAAGGAACTGTTGGGTATATATTTAGTTACTTTTGTTTCATTTTACTTTGAAGTCTTAGGAATTGCTTTTTTTAAAAATTAGCTGCTTTATAATTATAATTCTGTATAATATTTTCATGATTCCAAAATCAAGAAAAGACTATTTTTGAAGAGGGCTGATATCCTTGTTAGGTCTATTCCAATTTCTCCTTCTCCTTTTAGAGATAACTTTTCAGGCTAATTTTAATTCATGTTTTATTCATATTTTTAAAATGTCTTTTCTGAACATTTTATTTTTTGTACTGTACAAAATGAAAAATTTTAATTTCATCACTATAATCTCTGGACTTGAATTTAGAAGGATTTTTCTAGAAGTATGAAATGTGTCATGGGACTCTGGTTAAAACTCTTTGTGATCCTCATAACTCCTTTAGAGCAGGCCTGTAGCCATTCCAGGCTCAGATGACATGACAGTGCAAGCATGGAGGTTAGCAGATGCTTACATGGGGTTAGTTTCTGCATCCAGAATCTACAGGGTGAGAAATCTTCAGGCTCCACCCTAATCAGTTGAATCTAAACCAGTTTCTGGAGACTGGGACTCCGGCGTCAGAGTGCACTTATCCCCTCTCAGGTGATGCTAAGGTGCAGTCAGGATGAAGACCACTGTGTAAAAGATGAGTGAAGGCTAGGATATCTAGAGTCCTGATGACTATGATTCCCCCAGATTCATTGCTTTTCCACCTTACCTCTGAATTTTTCTCAACTCTACATTTTGTCACCTTCCCCCCAGTTCTAAAGATTAACTGCCTGTTCATTTTTCCTACAAGCTCACTCTTTTCTGCTTAAATGTTTTACTGAAGCATTTTTCTTTGATAGCTTGTTTCTATTGTTGTGTCTCTGTGTGTGTTTTTTTTCCCCTGAATGAGATAATGGGGAAGTTGGGTAAGAAACATTAAGGCAGAGGAGGAATTCTACCTGCTGTGGAAGTTCTAGCATCTAACCTAGCCATGCAAGAAGTTACCCTAAGAAGCAAGAGGTGGAACCCAATGTCAGGTGCTTTCAGAAGGCTGAATACCAAGGACTCTATCCAGAAATGTCTACCTCAAGCTTCCCTGGCAGTCCAGTGGTTAAGACTCCACACCACCAATGCAGATGTCTCAGTATTTGATCCCTGGTCAGGGAACTAAGATTCTGCATGCCACATGGCATGGCCAAAAAAAAAAAAAAAAATTCTGCCTCAGAGACTCAGACTCTGAGAACCTTGATTAGTGAAAGTTGTAATATTAAATTAAGCTGTTTTAAAGATCCTTTATGATTTCAGTGTTGTGAAGAATTCTTGTGAAACAGGAAGAACTCTATTCAGTTGGTTGTGGAAAGAATAATCATGGGATGGTCATAGATTGATGTCAAAGAGGAAGGGTTTAAGGGGGCAGTGTTTAACCTCGTTCTTGCTGATCAAGAAAATTTTAGTTTCGTTAGATTCGTGGTTGATAATGAATATTTTCTCAGATTCTTTAATTCTTATTAATTGAAGGTGAGAATCGGGAGTGTAGAGATGAGAGAATTCCTTGGTGGTGTGTGCTCACACCAGTGTACGTGTGGTAGAGGTAACTCCCAGGAATGGCTGCTACCAGTGTCTCTGTCCCCAGGCACTCCTTGCCTCTTGGAGAGACTCTTCAAGACAAGCAGAGTGTTCTGAAATTGGACTTTTCCTTGGAATTCACACCACTGTTTCATTTGGAGTTACAACTTGGAACAGAACATTGAGCATATGCAGGAGCTAATCTTCTGGTAACTGGAAAATCTTTCACCAGGTTTGCCTCAGCCAGTTTTACCAAATGCCAGAAATGGAAACACAGATTACAAATGCTGCTGCCAGCTGTCCTGCTAAATGACTCTTCATCTCTGACCTTTCTTTGTGTGTGGAGGGGATGGATTTACTCAGTCTACCTTTGATGGCCTCAGTCACTTCTGCCCTGTGTGTTCTGGAAGATTTGAAGAATCATATTTAATATGTGTATTCTTATTCTCTATATGTACTTTGGGGTTTTGTTTTCACAGTTTTGTGCTATTTACTATTTTGTTTTCTATTTTTTGAGAGATATTACTGGAAATTATTCTTTACTTGCTGTTATTTTTCATATAGAATATAATATCAGTTTTCTATTTTCAATAGTTGCAACTTATGCAAGGATGGAAATTCCTTGTACATTATACTTTTTATCACTCCTCTGAATTGCCGTGACTCCTGCTTGCTGGAGGCAAAGTTGTGCATGTGTGCTCAATCACCCAGTTGTGTCTGATTGTTTGTGATCCCATGGACTGTAGCCATCAGGTTCCTCTGTCCATAGGATTATCCCGGCAGACTATTGGAGTGTGTTGCCATTTCCTAGTCCAGAGGATCTCCCCAACTCTGGAATCAAACCTGCGTCTCCTGTGTCTCATGCATTGAGATTGATTCCTTTCCATTGGGCCATTGGAGGAAGTCCCAAAATAGTGCTTAAGAATAACAAGTGACTCTCCCCTCAAATTACATCAGATCAAAGTAACAGTTCATGTTTGAAAACCTTTATCTTTTTGGAAATTTCTGTTCCAAATAAAGAATGATCATTATCAAGAAAAAGAAAAAAAAAAAGAATTGAAAAATGAAAGGAAGATATGGGCCATTAACTGGCATTATACCTTATTGAGGCTGTTAGTTCAACTGTTTTTGTTCTTGTTGTTGTTTGTTTGTTTGTTTGTTTTAATATTTATTTATTTAGCTGTGCTAGGTCTTAGAAGCAGCATGTGGGATCTAGTTCCCTGACTAGGGATTGGACCCATATCCCCTACATTGGAAGTGTGGAGGTATGGAGTCTTAGCCACTGGGCAACCAGGGAAGTCCCTCAACTGGATTATCAAATACTGTTTATCAGTGGAAAAAATCCACATATGTTTAGGCAGTAGTGACTTGCCTTTATTTACACTCTTTTTTGCTGGATTTTTTGCATTTATCCATATTCTCTTTGGTGAGTGCCATTACTCTTATTTCTCCTGTAATTACAAGGATGTTAAGTTCAAATGGAGTTCTGAGTAACAGTAAACAGTGATTCCCAAAGAGAATCACAAGTTTCAGGGAAGTCTGGGATGGCAGATATTACTGCTGGGCTTCTGGTGGTTTGTGGCTGTAGCACTGGACTGCCCTTGGCCATACCTAGGCTGGGACTGCCTGTGTGTACAGTTTGATTTTCCTGCTTCTCTGCATGGGCCTCCACATTTCCATCTCAAGGAACTATAAATAGTGTGGTTGACAGTCCACTGTGTGAGGGACTCTTCCATGAGCTCTCTATGCCTCTTGGGATGGATGACAGGTTCCAATGGAAATGTTTGAGAACTGATCATTTTAGTTAGGTCTGATCATCTTACTTATACTTCAACTAAATAGTGTTCCCTTTATCTTCTATAGTAGATGAAAATTTCCATGACTTCATGGAAGGAGAAGCAGTTGGTGCAGCCTGTGAATGTGTGTGCTTGCATGAGTATAGATCAAGACAGGAATGTTGAGGTCTAATGAGACACCCATATGAGGGACTGAGCCATCTTTTGGTAAATATCCTGATCAGACACTAGCTGGTTGAGCAGAAAATGCTTAATTATTTTGGTGTTTGGTGTTGCAGATTCTCCTTCCCTTCCTCTTATGTGTGGGTTCCTCAGCTTCAGATATATAGAAGAGAGCTATCAAGGCAAACTTGTCAGTTGCTTACCCTGTGTTAGTAAGGCAGAATTACCAAAAAGGAAAAGCACTGTTCCTGAAAGATTTCCAAAATTTTGGCATGTTGTCTTTTGAGAAGTCTGTGGAGGAAATGACGTTGAGGGCCAAGGTGTTTACTTTTGGTGACTTGGATACTTTGAGTGTTTGGTTTTCCTTGATGGTGGAGAAGGAAGGGAACCTGGGTAGAAGGGGACCTTCAAGGAGTGACTAGAGAGAGGAAGTAGGCTGTGGTGAAGTGGCTGTTTGGCAGAGTGGGTAACTGTTGCTGTTTCTTTGCCTTTTTCTTGGAGAAGAAACTTGCTTTCCCTATATCTTACTGAGGGTGGAAGCCTCAGTGCACCCTGAGTCAATTGGTTTAGCCTTGGAGAAGAGAGGATTGGGAACATTTCTTCCAACCCACCAACTGTAGTGGATGGTGGATGGAGAACTACAGAAGACATACTTTTTTAGCTTGGTCTCCACCATGTTTAATTCTTTACTCCAAGGAACATTCCAACTTCTAGAGGGTAGAAGCATATTGAGGCAGTGCTCTCGGGAGCTGAGAGCCTGCAGAGCTGCCAAGCCTGGTTTCTTTGTGGTACTCCAGCCAAAGCTGGTTTCCATTCCCTTGATCTATAGACATGTGGAGTTTGGGATGGAAAAGAGTGGGTGTGTTTGTGCCAGTGTCCTCAGTTTGTAAAGATTCATGAAGAAGGTGATAATAGCATGTCTCCCATATGTGAACCAGGTTGACTTTCTCTTGGGCTGGGACATTGAGAGTACAGGAGACAGGGGCAGGCTGCCAGCAGCCTTGTTCATATGGAAGCAGATTTCTTACTCTTCTGCCACCTTTTTCCTTGTTAATCTTAAGGCTCAGTTGGTATTAAGCCTGGTTGTGATATTTACTGAGCATCCACAGTGTGCTGAGCATGATGCACTAAGGCTTTACTATCTTTGAATGTAAAATTTTGCCTTAAGGTTAAACTGTTGCTTGCTTGTCCTATAGGGGATAGTGGATCTTCATATTTTTCTTTTAAATTAGCGATGAATGTACCATTTTGTCAAAATGTATTTTTAACATGCTAATGCTAAAATTAAATCTTGTATTAAGAAAAACTGACATTTCTAATTAAGACTTTTTTCTCTTTTCTTTTAGGAAGGCACCAGAGTAGTTCAACCCATATTTTTGGGGAAAATGATTAGTTACATTGAAAACTATGACCCCAGTGATTCTGCTGCTTTGTACAAAGCCTATGGCTACGCGGCAGGGCTGAGCGCCTGCGTGCTCGTGTGGGCCGTTCTGCACCACTTGTACTTCTATCATATTCAGCGTGTGGGGATGAGGCTGAGAATAGCCGTGTGTCATATGATCTACCGCAAGGTGAGTGTCACTCAGTACCACTGTGTGTACCTCCTTGAGGCATCAGAAACGTTTGTAGAAAGTTCTCTATAAACTAAAAATTTCCTGACTGTGATCATTTACACCTTCCCAGAGAAGCTTGCTATTTGCATCAAGCCAAGTTTGTTGTTAAAGCAAACTTGACCAATAAATAACGAAAAGTTTTCTTTTGAGATCAAGAGAGGGCTGCCCTTGATAGCTTTAAGCCATAGGCTGTTGCATAATACCCACTAAATTTGTAGTATTGAATTAATATTAACTTATATTTTTAAAATATTAAATTAATATTTAAATAAGTATTTTGATAAATATATCAAATGATAATAAGTATATCAAATAAATATATCAAATGATTTAAAAATAAATCAATATATCATTGATTTTCATTGTCTTCATGCCGAAATACCATAGAGCTGTTTATGGAAATTTGTTGTTATTGTTTATTAACATCTTAATTTACATCAAATGTTTATTTAAAAGTGAACCTCAGAGATTGGATCTATAAAACTATATCTAGAAACAGAGAATGTATTTGAGAAAGGGAATGATTATAATTTTAAAAGACCTATTTCATTATATTCAATATAATTATGTGAAAAATATAAAGAGAATTCATGCCAAATATAGACTCAGTCACTATATTCTATAGATGTGATTGTTGTTAATGATATATTAAAGAAAATAGTAGGGTATTTGAGATAAAACTTGAAATTTTACACTGTTTTATTCATTCTAGAGATAATTTATTACTCTTCATTTAAACTATTTTAATACAATCTATTCCTTTGTCTTTAGTATGCATCATAACACTTTTAATAGGACTGATTAAATGTGTTCAGTGATTTTGTATTGAGGAATGCCATGAAATTATTCCATAGTTTAACTTGGTCTAAAATAGCATAAAAGAATAAGGATTTCAGGTATCTTTACAAAGGTATTGCCACAGATACATCAGTGTCAAGAGCTGAAATACTCTGTATAATCTTGATCCTGGATACCTCTTTGCCTTTGACGGTTTGCTTTAAAAAAAAAAAAATCCTTATTTGACTGTATTGTAGCCTTGAAATTTTCCAAAAGAGTAGATCTTAAGTGTTGTCACCACGCATGTAAAACAGGATAACTATATTATGTAGTGGGTACTTTAAGTGGTTTTACTATAGTAATCATTTCCCAATGTGTATGTATATCAAAGTATCGTGTGGTAACCTTATGGATATACAAATTTTATTAATAAATAAAGTCTTCATTGAATGATAAAACCAAACAGCTTAAATTGAAAATATTGATTCTTTTACCTGGTTGTTACTTATCTAGAGCTTCTATTTCTTCAGAATCCTTCTATCAGCAGAAAGAGATGTCATCTAATCTTTCCTTGAGCAGAGTCTTGTACATCTTGGGACTGTGTGAACCTGGGGACCTGGCATCTCACTGTCTTGCTTGACAACATCTGAGCTACTTTCCTTCTGGGTGATGTGGAAATTGCAGTGGTGCCTGCACACTCCAGTCAGGGGTCTTCATTGTCATTTATCATTGTCTTTTGTTATTCTGTTGCATCTTTAACCATTTATGAGATGGATACTCAAATGTCCCCACAAATTGGCTAAATGCCTTTCTTTTCAGATCATGATGATCTCATGTGAGTGATAATCACTGACTTGTATTCACCTCTTTGCAACCCCATGGACTCTAGCCTGCCAGGCTCCTCTGTTCATGGAATTCTCCATGCAAGAATACTGGAGTGGGTTGCCATTTCCTTCTCCATAACAGTCATAAAAATTGTGAAATTTTACCAGGACTGCATTGCGAAAACCTTAAGTTAGATGTGAGGTGATGGTTTAGTCAAAGCTCACTCTTTGCAGCACAGGTGAGCCATTGTCCACCTGTTTTTCTTCCTTTTCCCTCTAACACTTTGAAAGCTTTTCTTTTGGAAATGTGATCTGACCTGGTTTATTGGCTTATGTGAATGTAAACATCTTCCAAGATGTTCATTTGCTGGCTTAATTATACTTGAAAGATGGTTCCTATATGAAGCCAGAAATTGTGGTCACTCCTAAAATGGCCCATTCAGCATTTTCGTGTTCTTTGCAGGTGAATTTTGCATGATTGTGAAGGAGGTATTGTATATAAAAATGAGTTACCATTTACTTATTAATATATTGCCACAGATTTGGTAAAGTTGCTTTTGGCTTTTGATCATTGATCTGTTTTTCATTCTGGTAAAATACACCCAGCATAAAGTTTACCATTTTCACTCCTTTTAATTGCAGCATTTAGTGACATTAGGTACATTCACATTGTTGGGTGGCCATCACCATTATTCATCTCCAGAACTTTTTTCTTTTTCCCAAACTGAACCTCTGCACCCATTAAACACCAACTCCCCAACCCCTGTCCCCTCACCCAGCAACATTCTACTTCTCTCTGTGAATTTGACTATTTTAGTACCTTGTGTAAGTGGAATCCTACAGTGTTTGTTATTTTGTGTGTGGCTTATGCTCTGTAGCACGATATCTTCAAGGTTCATCCATGTGGCAGGTGTCAGAATTTAATTCCTTTTTAAGGCTGAATAATATTCCATTATAGGTCTATGCAACATTCTGTATGTTTGCTTATCTGTCAATGGACAGTTGTTTCCACCTTTTAGCTATTGTGAACATCACTGCCATGAATGAGTGTACAAATTATCTGTTCAAGTTTGTGTTTTTAGTTTTTTTGAGTATATCCTTAGTAGTATAATTGCTGTATTGTATGCTAATTTCAAGTTTAATTTTTGAGAAACACCCATATTCTCTTCCATTGTGGTTATATCATTTCACATTCTCACTTGATCACTGATTTTCTTCTTTAACTTGAGGAGTAAACAAAGTGTTTTTATAAACTATGACATTTTGTTTGGATCAGTTGCTCCAGTTGGTGGTCTGTTGTAGCTGCTCCTGGTGTATCCTCAGTTTTCGCAAATCTCTAGGGCATTTTTCTTACTAAATAAAGGGATTGTGCAACACGGGTTATGTTTTTTATAGAGTCAGCAGACTGGCGTTAAGAACACAGCTTCCTCACAGGAACAGTGTTCTGGACATTATACTTGCTCATTTCAGAATGAACAAACTAAGCCCAAAGTGTTTAAATATTGTCATCCACAGAATGAATGATTGAGGTTTAAATATTGTCATCCACAGAATGAATGATTGAGTCCAGGTTTATATTTATATTCAGAGTCCAACTCTCCAAATTTCTTACCTAAGGCAGCCTCTCCACTTTCATCTAACTTGGCTCAAAATTACTTAGTTGTCTCTTAAGTGTAAACCTGCACCCTTTACCCTTCAGACAGGTCCAAGTTCATTGAAATGGGGGTGGGGAGGTGGGGATTTTGCTTCTTCTTCCTGCTCCTCCCTTTGCCTTCCTTGCACCCGGGGCTGCTGCCACTCTGAGGAGTTAAAGGCTGAATGAGGGTCCCTAGAACCCTGCTGTCAGGGGTCATCCTGCTTGTGCTGACACCACCCAAGACCCCAGAACACATGCTGCATTGTATTATGTTCTAAGATGACTTAGGCGTTCAGTTTTCTGTCTCCCTTTCTTATTTCAGGCACTTTACCTAAGTAGCTCGGCCATGGGGAAGACCACAACAGGCCAGATAGTCAACCTGCTGTCCAACGATGTGAGCAGGTTTGATCAGGTGAGCTGCCCCTCAGGGATCCTCTTCCATTTCCCGTCCTTCTCACTGGGTTCAGATTATTGGGATGCCAGGTGCCCAGGTTTAGTTTTGGCCAGGATCCCATCATGGATGTAAGACAAAGGTTCTATTTATCCAACTTTCATTTATCTGTGTGCAGTTTAGATGCAATTATATGTATTGTTCAGTAAGTGACAGTTTTGTTTTTCTGGTGATAAATAGGCAACAGTGTTCTTCCTTGGCTTGGTTAGTGTTCCTAGGGGTCTTTCTGGAGTGACCCTTCTTGGCATGTGGTGTAGATGTTGCTAGACTATCTTACTTGTCCTCTGGATGATGAAGGCCTGGTGGGAGGGATTGTTCTTTCCCCTGCACCCTGTTCAGTGCCTGCTGCATTGGGAGCCTGCGAGAAATATGCCAAGTGGGTGGTCCCCAGCCAGGCACAACCTACCCTCTGTTGTCTCCCCCCACACTCTTTTTTCCAATGACCTTAGGCATAGATCATATGACCCAGGGTGTTGTAGCTGTTGGTCAGATCGGTGTTGCACTTCTCGTCAAGTATTTGTTCATCAAACATGAAGTAAGGTCCATACTCAGTTTCAGGGATGAATAAAGCTTAGTTTCTGCCCATCAGTTTCAGCCTATCAGGGAGATAAATACATAAGTATTTACTGGAGAGAGTAGTGGGTACCATAATATAGGGTTTCCTGGAGTGCTGGGGAGCCCCAGGGAAATGGGGGCTAAATTCTGTGACAAGAATCATTTGAGGAAGCCCTGAGCTCATCTATGGTGAGGACAAAATCAACATCTTCCTTCAGTGCTGCTGGTAGAGTCCTCCCTGACCATCCCTGAGTCTGACCCTGTGCTGCCCCGAACAGCGTCATCTGGGGTGGACACTTGGATTTCTGCTTCAACAGGTTTAAAGCCCACTGAGATAATTTCTATTTAAATTCCTGGCTATTCCTTCAGAGCAAAGTGTCTCTACGCTGTGTCCTTACTGTTTTGTTTTTATACCATCTCAAGAAGGCTTTTGTCTTTCTCTTTTAAGGTAACAATGTTCTTGCACTATCTGTGGGTGGGGCCACTGCAGGCTATCGCAGTGACCGCCCTGCTCTGGATGGAAATAGGAATATCGTGTCTTGCTGGGATGGTGGTTCTCATTATTCTTCTGCTTTTGCAAAGCTGCTTCAGGAAGTTGTTTTCATCACTCTGGTAAGAGAAACACTTCTTTTAAAAATTGATAGTATGTAATTAGTAACATCCACAGTCTGCTTTATGCTTTTGTTGAAAAACAAGACAAATGCCTTCTCTGGTCTCTTCTTTGTGTGGGGTGTAGACCCTTCAGGCTTAACCAGTGGAGGCTCCAGCTTTATGCTGAAGGCTGATCTTGAAACAGGAACAGGGAAGGCATTCACTGGTTCCTCTTGGCACCGTATCTGAATAAGTAGAGTGTCCGTCAGCAGAATTTATCCATGTCCAAGTTGTTTAAATATTGTTAAAACGTAATAATCTTGTAGGCCCATTTCTCACTGCATATATTTCTTGTTATGTTTGTGTTGGAGCCTTTTCAGGTATTCTGTTCATGTTTTCATTAAGTTATAAGCACCCCAAGGGCCATGCTGATCTTCATTGTGTCTTTTTAAAGCCCCACATTCACAGCGGCACATGTGACAGAAAAGTGGCTGGTGGTGAAGAGCCTTCTGGTGATGAGTTAGATCTTAAGCAGGTCCAGAGGGTTGGAGGTGGGTGGTTGTCAGGTAATGGAGATGTTGTACTATTTGAAGGTCATTGAGTTCTTGTGTGTGTTATGTGGGTGGGGTTCTGTGCCTGGTGTCTTTCTCTATTTGGAATTCCCTTTTCTCTCTTTGCTGGAGAGATAGATACTCCCTATCCTTTGAGGCCCTGTTCCAGTGCTACCAGGTCTTTGAAGCTCATCTTGTTCTCCTTTCCTGTTGGAATTAACAACCCCATCTTTTCGGCTCCTCAGAACTTCACTCCTATTTTATTATAGCACAGCCACTGTCTTGGTGGTAGATTCTGGTGCCTTCCTGCCTTCCCTACCTGTCCGTGACCTCCTTGAGCAAACAGTTTGTATCTGACTCATTTTAGGCCTTCCTTAGCTGATGCTGCCGGAGAAGGCAATGGCACCCCACTCCAGTACTCTTGCCTGGAAAATCCCATGGACGGAGGAGCCTGGTAGGCTGCAGTCCATGGGGTCGCGAAGAGTCGGACATGACTGAGTGACTTCACTTTCACTTTTCACTTTTATGCATTGGAGAAGGAAATGGCAACCCACTCCAGTGTTCTTGCCTGGAGAATCCCAGGGATGGGGTGGCACAGAGTTGGACATGACTGAAGTGACTTAGCAGTAGCAGTAGCTGATGCTGCACGTTCTCCAATTTATTTCTTGAAATGGGCTGAATGATTAACTTTCTAAATGAAACCATTTTCTCAGTGTGTACTTTGAGTAGGACCTGCCTATTTTCTAAGTGTAAAAGGGCTGTAGAGAATAATTTTATTCCTAGTCACACCCCCATGCCTACTACTGCTGCTGTTGCTGAAGAAAGTTGGGCTGTGGTTACTAAGGCTTATCTCTCACATCTGTCCCCTTAGGAGTAAGACCGCTGTTCTCACAGATAACAGGATCAAGACCATGAGTGAAGCCATAACTGGCATCAGAACAATAAAAATGAATGCTTGGGAAAAGTCATTTATAGACCTTATTACCAGATTGAGAAGGTGAGTTTATATATATATATACACATCACTCCATATTTTCATGCTTTATTTCTCATTCTACTGAAAGCTTTAGATATCTTACCAAATAAGTATTTAAGTTCACTTTCACATTAATGTGAATTAAATACTTACTATTCACTGCAACCCTACATGTTGTAGGAGGGTTAAGTAGAATAGTGGAGATGTCATTTAACCTGCTTTTCCATTTACCATCTTCTCAAAGGAAAAAAGGGTTTCCCTGGTGGCTCAGCTGGTAAAGAATCCACCTTCAATGTGGGAGACCTGGGTTCAATCCCTGGGTTGGGAAGATCCCATGGAGAAGGGAACGGATACCCTCTCCAGTATTCTAACCTAGAGAATCCATGGACTGTATAGTCCATGGGGTTGCAAAGAGTTGGACATGATTGAGCGATTTTCACAAAGTAAAAGATATATATGCTTCTTACTTAAATAGAAATGAAATTCTGAATACTTCTTAATACCTCAAATCCCAATAAGCAATGATTTTAAGATAATATTTGAAACTATGACATTCAAACTAAAATTGTAACTTATGTTGATGGAGCACATATGGGGAGATTATAGAGACTGGGTGTACCTGTGTTGAGCCAAATTATATGAATCACTATTCTTCATTGTCATCATGCTTAGTCACTCAGTCATGTCCCACTCTTTGTGACCCCATGCACTGTGGCCTGCCAAGCTCCTCTGTCAGTGGGATTTCTCAGGCGAGAATACTGGAGTGAGTTGCTATTTCCTCCTCCAAGGGATGTTCCTAACCCAGAGATTGACACCATGTCTCCTTCACTGCAGGTGAATTCTTAACCAACAGGAAACCTCATGAATCACTATTAGTCATTTCAAACGGAGCTATGAAAATACTGTTCTTTTTGTTTTGCTTCATGTTTGTAGGATGTTTCTCCATCTTTCATTTAAATGTCTGATGAGCATTTCTCTGACCCCACCTTGTCACCTCTGACTTTGCACCTTTGTGGGGGTCTCTCCCTCTGCTGGGAATACACTCCCTTCTTCCTTCTACTCTGGCCTCTGCCAAGCCTGACTGACTCCAGCTCATCTTCTCAGGGCCCACATGTGTGTGACTTGCCCTGACTCCACTGCTCTGGGGTACACGCCTCTGCTCTGGGCTCCTGCAGGAGCTGTGCTGACTACCTCTATCTATTGTCTTGGTGTCTCACAATTTTGGAGTGTCTTATTCTCTTCCCGAATAAGTTCATGAGCTCCTGGAGGGGACAGACTGTGTCTTTCTGTGAGGAGCCCAGCAGAGGTCTTGTGATTATGAATGTTTGTTGAATGAATGTTCAGACCCAGTCTGATTGACCCAGAATGTTTGAAAGTATGACATTAGGCCTCCTTTTACTTGGAAGAGTGAAGTGGTGATCAAGTGTGTGGTCCTGGTGTTGGGGCAGACCCCCAGGTGCGCAGTGTATAGTGTTTCCATGATGAGAGGGATGGTTTATCTTTTATCTGTGTCCACTCCCTAGAAAGGGTCAACTCACACGGGGCACTGAATCCATGTCTTGTGTGTTGATGCTTCTTATAAAACTGAAGTCCTACTTTCTTTTCCAGGAAGGAAATTTCCAACATTCTGAGAAGTTCCTACCTTAGGGGCATGAATTTGGCCTCATTTTTTGCTGTGAGCAAAATCATGATTTTTGTCACCTTCATCAGCAATGAGCTCCTTGACAACCTGATCACAGGCAGCCAAGTGTTCATGGTGGTGATGCTGTTCGAAGCTCTGCGGTTTTCGAGCACCCTCTACTTCCCCATGGCCATCGAGAAGGTGTCAGAGGCCATCATCAGCATCCAAAGAATCAAGGTTTAGTGAAAAATAACTTTTAAGTTATAGGCAGATTTTACTTAAAATGCTTCCTTTTATGTGGTATCACTGTGAGTCAGTTAGGTGAGATTTAACTCTTTCAGTGCCAAGCTGGCAGTCTTTCCAAAATGTCTGTGTTTCTTAGCTAAAGTGCATTAAAAGTATCAATAAGATCCATGCTTGCTTAGGGCCAGTAGTATAAATAGCAGCAACACATGCTCTTCATCTGTAGTGATGGCTGCAGAATGATTGAAATGTCTAAAAGCAGGAGAAGCGAACAGATGTATCTGCTGTGCTGACTGGAATGACTAGGCAGTGACTGTACACAATCCTGGGGTGACTAGGATTCCTTTCTGGGCCAGGAGGGGATCAACTTGCTGAGAAGTTCTCTTCCCTGGGCAGGAAGAGTGGCCTCAGATTCACTTAGTTCCCTGTATTTAAAAATGGGTTCTTTCCTTCACAGATGTTTTCTCATTGATTCCTGATCTCTGTATTTTTGTTATTATTTTACTTAGTGTGTAAGCCTGTCTCTAGCTGCCCTTTTCCTTTCAAACATGTGATTCCCTCCAAACCTATTATCTCCTTTTTTAAACTAACTGTCCCTAAATAGTCAGGGGTAAATAATTTTTATCATGAAGACAAGGGCTTGGCACACAGTAGGTGCTCAAGTGTTTCTGTTTAAAATGAAGATTAAGTTGGCTCTGTGAAAATTAATGATTTATTATGACCTCATAAGCCCAAGAAGTCTCTTTATTTTGCTCTAAGTGAGAAAAGGGGACCCATGGTCTTGGCACTGAATGACTCCAGTAGGATTGCAAATGATCTCAACTTCAAAGCACTAAAAGTCTTCAGTGACTTTTACATCCAATCAGGTGTGTCTCTGAGGTTATATTGTTCACAAAACAGCTTTTGATATTCCATTACCAGACACTGGGAAGTCAGTCTTTGTGGCTGCAATTCTGATGTTTCTACTTTCCTGCACAACATGTCCTGGGTCTACACTAGCTGGCTAATGGCCATTTAATTTCAGCTTTTTCATCAGACTGCGTCCTGGTGAAAAATCTAGCCAGCATTTCTGGCGCCTTTATGAACTGATCATCTACTGAATGGGGTTTCATTTAACCCTTGGAAGACTGTGACATCTGTTCGCCTCAGAGCTATTATTTGTGGACAAGTGCTCAATAAATTTAGTTCTTCAGTTAGGGCATAATTTTCCTTTTCTTTCTTTTGTGTTTGAAACTGAGGAATTTCTATTCTAATACACACAGACTGAGTATTGATGTCTTGGTTACATGTTTAAGCTGAAACTGTATTTGATTCTGTCTAGACTGGATATAGGAATATGTCAAGGCTGTATATTGTCACCCTACTTATTTAACTTATATGCAGAGTACATCATGAGAAACACTGGGCTGGAAGAAGCACAAGCTGAAATCAAGATTGCTGGAAGAAATATCAATAACCTCAGATATGCAGATGACACCACCCTTATGGCAGAAAGTGAAGAGGAACTAAAGAGCCTCTTGATGAAAGTGAAAGAGGAGAGTGAAAAAGTTGGCTTAAAGCTGAACATTCAGAAAACTAAGATCATGGCATCTGGTCCCATCACTTCATGGGAAATAGATGGGGAAACAGTGTCAGAGTTTATTTTTTTGGGCTCCAAAATCACTGCAGCTGGTCAATGCAGCCATGAAATTAAAAGACACTTACTCCTTGGAAGGAAAGTTATGACTAACCTAGATAGCATATTAAAAAGCAGAGACATTACTTTGTCAACAAAGGTCCGTCTAGTCAAGGCTATGGTTTTTCTAGTGGTCATCTACAGATGTGAGAGTTGGACTGTGAAGAAATCTGAGCGCTGAAAAATGGATGCTTTTGAACTGTGGTGTTGGAGAAGACTCTTGGGAGTCCCTTGGACTGCAAGGAGATCCAACCAGTCCATCCTAAAGGAGATCAGTCCTGGGTGTTCATTGGAAGGACTGATGCTGAAGCTGAAACTCCAATACTTTGGCCACCTCATGCAAAGAGTTGACTCATTGGAAAAGACCCTGATGCTGGGAGGGGTTGGGGACAGGATGAGAAGGGGACGACAGAGGATGAGATGGCTGGATGGCATCACCGACTCGATGGCCATGAGTTTGAGTAAACTTTGGGAGTTGGTGATGGACAGGGAGGCCTGGCGTGCTGTGATTCATGGGGTCACAAAGAGTTGGACATGACTGAGCGACTGAACTGAACTGAACTGAGACTGGATATATAACATATACATTACTCTCCAGGGATCTTGGTCTTTTTAGTCAATAGAAGTTGATAATAGGACAGATGATAAATTTAAGCAAGGCTTTTTGAAGCTTGTGCTGCATCACAAAGTGTAAAAACAGGAAACTGATGCCTCCTGTTGGCTCAGAAAGGTGGGCTACTTCCTTAAGTGGGGTGAGGGTGGGGGAGGTTTGGTCTTTTGAACCTCAGGGGTGACTTATGTGGCCTGCCACAGTCTTGTAGGTGCCGTGTGCCAGGATCATATGCAGTTCCCTTCTTTGCCCCCAGAAGCTCAGAAATGGCAGTTGGCTTGTGGTGGTTTTATATCTTGCTGTTGGTAATTGCCTTTGCATTCATGCAATTATGTTTAGTCCCTTATGATTTCTTTGTATTCTGTTGCTTAAGGAGATGTTTGTCCAGGTGCAAATGTTCCCACACAGGGTCCCAGGTCCCAGCCTGTCTCATCACCTGTTGCTTGGTGCTGTGTTAGCTTAGACTATGTAAGACTGAAGCCATGCATTCAGTGGTTGGATGGTTTGAACAACCATGCAGTGTGTTCCTTCCTTTAGCTGATGCCCATGATGGGCTGACAGTGAGAGGCTCGGTCTTAGCTGGAGTTGGGACTGTAAAAGCACACAAAAGATGTAGTGTCTCCCCTCTGTGTGACTTAGTATTACTCCAGGGATTCAGAGGTAGGGAGGGCAGTGCCAGCTAGGGATATCCTGAGCTTGTTTCAGTAAGGTTAGTATTTGAGATGGGCAGATAAGGGTGGGTGGGGTCAGTACTCACGGTGTCCAGGCAGAGACCACCTGGGGAGAGTGGACTTAGGTGCTGTGGGTCACTGGGGGTGTTAAGCTTGTGGACACTCTCAGAGGGGCTGTAAGGAGATCAGGAAGGAGTTGTCTTGGGGTAGGGTCAGTCGTGTTGGGGAGGACTGGGGAAGAAACCAGAAAAAGAAAAGTTGCATTACTGAGATGACTAATAGTGAGTAAGATTCTGAAATTATGTTGTTTCAAAAGGAAAAGAGAATTAGGAGAGATGTGAATTGTGTCAGAACAGGTGAGAGCTGGTACTTGGCTGATCATGGGAGAGGTGACTTGGAGAGAGAACTCAGGTTGCAGTGGTTGAAAGCCTGCAAATGTGTCCTCAAACAACCGTCTGTCCATCCTGCCTCCTGGTGGACACGGGCTCAGGGAGGGTAGGGGTCTCCATGCCTTGTATTAGGTTCTCAGTGAGCTTGGATGAGAGGAGAAAGAAATGAATGAATCACATCTTCCACCAGCTGATATTTGACAGAAATGCAAGGATCATGAGTCTTTCTTTTTCTGCACACTGGTTTTCACATTCAGTTTCTACCTGTTCTTCTTTTGAAGTAGAAGTTTGCAATCACATTTATGACTCTGAGGCATGATATATGGGATGTCAAGATGTTTAAGGTAGTAGATTACTATTTATGTGTTATTTTCTTTCTAAAATATCCTCACATGCTTGTTTCAGTTTCCCCACTTATTGGTAAGGATTCAGTTTGCCTGTGGGTCCCAGAGTTACCCATGCTAAAGCTGCTTACACAGGTCATTTGTTTTTCTCTTATGCAAGAATCCTTGTGAGGCTCTGAATGGGTTTCCTGGCACTGCTGTTAGAAAGTACCATAAACCAGGTGGCTTAAAAGCACAGGAATGCATTATTTCACAGCCTTGGAGGATAGAAGTCTGAAATCAAGGTGTCAGCAGGGTCAGGATCCCTCTGAATCTGATAAGGGAGCATCCTTTCTTGCCTCTGTTAGCTTTGAGTGGTTTTAAGCAAATCTTGGCATTTCTTGGCTTGTAACTGCCATCACTCCAGCCTCTGTCTCCATCATCAGGTAGCTGTTTTTTGTGTCTGTCTGTCTCTGCATCTCTTATAAGGGCACCAATCATATTGGATTCAGGACCCACTCTACCCCACTGTGATCTCACTTTAATTGATTACATTTACAACAACCAAATATCCAAACAAAGTCATATTTTGAGGTAACTGGGGTTAGGACAACAGTGTATCTTTTTTTGTGGGGATCCAATTCATCTCATAGTAAGTTCCATGGTTAGTGTGATCCTCTGTCATGTTAAGGACCCAGACTCTTTCTTTCTTTTTTCTTACTTAATTAATTTACTTTAATTGGAGGCTAATTACTTTAAAATATTGTGTTGGTTTTTGCCATACATCAACATGAATCAGCCACAGGTGTACACATGTCCCTCATCCCAAACTCCCCTCCCATTTCCCTCTGCACCCCATCCCTCTGGGTTGTCCCAGTGCACAGGCTTTGAGTGCCCTGTTTCATGCATTGAACTTGAACTGGTCATTTATTTCACATATGGCAATATACATGTTTCAATGCTATTCTGTCAAATCATCCCACCCTTGCCTTCTCTCACAGAGTTTAAAAGTCTGTTCTTTATATCTGTGTCTCTTTTGTTGTCTCACTTTTAGGGTCATTGTTACCATCTTTCTAAATTCCATATATATGTGTCAATATACTGTACTGGTGTTTTTCTTTCTGACATACTTCACTCTGTATGTGTGTGTGTGTTAGTCGCTCAGTTGTGTCTGATTCTTTGTGACCCCATGGACTATAGGCCGCCAGGCTCCTCTGTCCATGGGATTTTCCAGGCAAGAACACTGGAGTGGGTTGCCATTTCCTTCTCTAGGGGATCTTCCCAACCAAGGAATCAAATCCAGGTCTCCTGCATTGCAGGCAGATTCTTTACTCTCTGAGCCACCAGGAAAGCCACCATACCCTCTAAACGGGGTATTAGACGATATCAAAGAGTTCATGTTGTTGGGTATTAATGATGTTGGTAGAACTTTAACTGAACTTTCAAGATAGCAAGGGAAATCCTGATTAAAGCAGAAGACTACGGCAGGGTGCTAAGTTGTCTGATTACTTCCACGGCAGCAAAAGTGCAAAAGAGCACCTGTAATCTGAGACCGTGAATAAAGCTTCACAAGAAAGCTTCGCAAGGCTCTATCTTCAGGGAAATGAGTTATCAGAGGAATACATTGCCCTCCAAGGCAGTCTACCAAGAAACCTTCCTGACCTAACTCTTGTAGAGGGAGCTTAAGTTTCTTAGAGAGTTCATAGCATGGACACAGCTGACCCTTGTGGGGACTGGAGCATGCATTCATGCTGTCTATTTGGAATAGCCTGAAAAACCTGTATGTCTTTGATCCAGGAATTCCATTTCAAAGAATCTCTCTCTGGATAGTTAGATGTAAACAAGCAAATATAAAATGATATATAGAAGATTAGTCAACATAGCCTTGTTTGTAATAGTAAAAAGGTGGAAAGAATCCAAGTGTCCAGTAGAGGGAACTGGTGGATAAAATTTGGTGCATCCATACAGTGGACTCCTAGGCAAATGTAAAAATAATGGGATGATCTCTGTGTGCTGGTGGGGAATCATCCTGGGGCTGTCTGTTTTTTTATTCCCCCCCCCACTCTCCTGGCCACCGCCCCCTCCTTAAGGCTGTCTTGTCAATTAAAAAAAAAAATGCAGGACATCATATAATATATGAGAGAGGGGGGAAGAGATGTCTTATGTAAGAAAGAGGGAAATCCCATGCATATTGCCTGTATTTGCAAAAAGAAACATTGAGAGGATAAGTAAAAGGATAAATGATGAAAATGACTACTAGGACAAGTGGGGAGAATGAGGTGGATGGGGCAGTGGTTAAATCTCACTTGTATTCAGCTTACTACATAGTTTTGACATTTCAACTATCTAGTTTTAAAAACTTAATTAAAACCCCCCCCAAAGTCAATAGTTAAATGCCTGGAAAATGTATATCCTTTCTGGATGAATGTGCCCACTGGCCTGAAGGACAACAGGGTCAGGGTGGAGAAGCTTACAATCAGCAGGAAGCCTGACGGGGATGGGGCTTGTAGTGACAGCACCTTGGAGGCAAAGTATAGGGAGTTGAGGGACTTGGAGACATTCTCTTCTAGGGGAGAAATGTTCACAAACACGAGCATCTTAGCACTCTGTACAATAGGCTGCATTTCATCCACCTCATTAGAACTGATTCAAATGCATTTTTAATAGCTGAGTAATATTCCATTGTGTATATGTACCACAACTTTCTTATCCATTCATCTGCCAGTGGACATCTAGGTTGCTTCCATGCCCTAGCTATTGAAAACAGTGCTGTGATGAACAATGTGGTACACATGTCTCTTTCAATTCTGATTTCCTCGGTGTGTATGCCCAGCAGTGGGATTGCTGGGTCATATGGCAGTCCTATTTCCAGTTTTTTAAGGAATCTCCACACTGCTATCCATAGTGCCTGTATTAGTTTGCATTCCTACTAACAGTGTAAGAGGGTTCCCTTTTCTCTGTACCCTCTCCAGCATTTATTGTTTGTAGACTTTTTGATAGCAGCCATTCTGACTGTCATGAGATGGTACTTCATTGTGGTTTTGATTTGCATTTCTCTGATAGTGAGTGATGCTGAACATCTTTTCATGTGTTTGTTAGCCATCCATATGTCTTCTTTGGAGAAGTGTCTGTTTAGTTATTTGGCCCAGTTTTTGATTGAGTAATTTATTTTTCTGGAATTGAGCTGCATGAGCTGCTTGTATATTTTTGAGATTAATTCTTTGTCAGTTGCTTCATTTGCAATTATTTTATCCCATTCTGAAGGCTGTCTTTTCACCTTGCTTATAGTTTCCTTCATTGTGCAAAAGCTTTTAAGTTTAGTTTGGTCCCATTTATTTATTTTTCCTTTTATTTCCATTATTCGTGGAGGTGGGTCATAGAGGATCCTGCTATGACTTATCTCAGAGAGTGTTTTGCCTCTGTTTTCCTCTAGGAATTTTATAGTTTCTGGTCTTACATTTAGATCTTTAATTCACTTTGAGTTTTTTTTTTTTTTGTATGTGTATGATGTTAGGAAGTATTCTAGTTTCATTCTTTTATAGGTGGTTGACTAGTTTTCCCAGCACCACTTGTTAAAGAGATTGTCTTTTCTCCATTGTATATTTTTGCCTCCTTTGTCAAAGATAAGGTGTTCATAGGTGTGGGGACTTATCTCTGGGATTTCTATTTTGTTCCATTGATCTATATTTTGTGTCAGTGCCATACTGTCTTGATGACTGTAGCTCTATAGTGTAGTCTGAAGTCAGGCAGGTTGATTCCTCCGATTCCACTCTTCTTTCTCAAGGTTTCTTTGGCTCTTCAAGGTTATTTTGTATTTCCATACAAATTGTGAAATTACTTGTTCTAGTTCTGTGAAAATTACCATTGATAGCTTGATAGGAATTGCATTGAATCTATAGATTGCTTTGGGTAGTATACTGATTTTCACTATATTGATTCTTCTGATCTATGAACATGGTACATTTCTCTGTCTATTTGTGTCACCTTTGATTTCTTTCATCAATGTTTTATAGTTTTCTATATATAAGTCTTTAGTTTCTTTAGATAGATTTATTCCTAAGTATTTTATTCTTTTTGTCACAATGGTGAATAGGATTGCTTTCTTAATTTCTCTTTCTGTTCTTTCTTTCTTGTTACCCCACTGCATGTGACCTGACCCTGCTAGCAGCCCCCAAGGCCCAGGCTGGGGAGGAGGAAGGTCCTGGTTGCTGTCACTGCTCCCTGTCCTGGATTTAGTCACTGGGCTGCCCCTGTCTGCTTGGGAGGCTGGAGAGAGAGGGCCTCCTTCCAGGTTGCCATGTACAGCTAAAATCCAGGGTTTGTTACCTCAGAGGAAAGAGAGCAGGTTTCAAGGACAGCCAGCAGTCTCTGCCTCATGCTCATAGTTTTGGGGACCTTGGGGAAGTGGGAGTGGTATAAATTGTTTGTTCAACTTCTCTACCACTCTAGCTTTCCTCTTTGAAGTATGTCAAGCATTTGCAAGACAAGAGGGAGTTTTGTTGTATGTGTTTTAGCTTTGTAGCAGTTCATAGGACTTTGTCTTATTCAGTTAAACTGCATCGATTAGCTGCTAAGTTATATAGAAGATAACAAGAAATGGAAGGTGTGGCCATTCCTGCTGTGGGGAAGAGAGGGCATTGACTAAGGAGAAGAGGTAGTAAATGTGAAAAGATGCTTGTATAGTATTTTTTAAGACATAGAAACTTAAGAGCATTTTCTTTTTAGAATGATGACTTAAGTGATAGTTTTGACACATACAAGGGGGAAAGCAGGGTATACAGGGTTTGCATTCAGAGTCTCTGTCATTGATCTTATGTTTCCAGCCTGTCCTGTGCCACCTGCTTCCTGACGGCCTGGGAAGGCCTTCCTCTCTGTGTTCCTAGCAGTGTCCCATGGTGCTTGGCACATGCAGGGATTCAGTTAATGTTCATGAAAAATTTCCTACCAGCTCACCTGTTTATTGTGGTTAACACAAAAGTATAACAGTTGAAATGTCCAGGTTCTAAATGTATTGGAGTTTGAAGCCATATTTTCTTCTTAGACGGGAACCAGTACACTTGTTGAGAAGGTAACAAAGATGGCAGCATGGCCAGGAACTCTTTATTTATCTGTTTTATACACACACACATGCACACACACACACATACTATATATATGTGTGTATATACTATATTATATATGCTATACCATATTATATGCTTATACATACCATATACTATAATAATAATATGTACTATACATTATATAGTGTTTCTCATGTAAACCAAGACTTAATAAAATACAGTTGTAAAATGATAAGTAGGAATAAATGATAGGTATGAAACTTTTTTTAATGCAAATTCCAGAGAAGCAGTTGTTTTGTTTGTGTTTTGTTCTTGCAGTATAAACAATCTATGTCTTTCCTTTTTTCTGTAGAACTTTCTGTCACTTGATGAGATGTCACAGTGTTACCCTCAGCTGCCATCAGATGGTGAAATGATAGTGGATGTGCAAGATTTAACAGGTTTTTGGGAAAAGGTAAGAGACTCTCCATTCCAGGGTCATGACTGCTAAAAGACAACTGTGACATATTTTGTTGGAGAATTTTGAGATTTTACACATACTGTTAAGTGATTTTCTCATTTACTAAAAATATGTTATGAAAATTCTCAGAATCAGAATAAGGTTTGCAATGAATGGAGATTAAGTATAAAGTCAGCATGAGGCATTTGACATGTTGCTCTCTATATCATTTTCAAGAGAGCTTTCAAATTATTAGCACATGTTGAATTGAAAGTATGTAACATTCTTTTTTTAATTTTAGCTTATTTTCCATTATGTTTTATTACAAAATATTAAATATTAATCCTTGCTCTATACAATAGGATCACCTTAAACAAAAGATACAGAGTATATATATATATATATATATTTTTTTTTTTTTTTCTTGAAAACACAGATCTAATATTTTGGGCATCAGTGGTTTAAATGTTTTTAAACATGACCTGAAATGTGAAGTCAGGTGGGCCTTAGGAAGCATCACTACAAACAAAGCTAGTGGAGGTGATGGAATTCCAGTTGAGCTATTTCAAATTCTAAAAGATAATGCTGTGAAAGTGCTGCACTCAATATGTCAGCAAATTTGGAAAACTCAGCAGTGGCCACAAGACTGGAAAAGGTCAGTTTTCATTCCAATCCCAAAGAAAGATAATGCCAAACAATGCCCAAACTACCACACAATTACACTCATCTCACACGCTAGTAAAGTAATGCTCAAAATTCTCCAAGCCAGGCTTCAGCAATACATGAACCATGAACTTCCAGATGTTCAAGCTGGTTTTAGAAAAGGCAGAGGAACCAGAGATCAAATTGCTAACAACTGCTGGATAATTGATAAAGCAAGAGAGTTCCAGAAAAACATCTATTTCTGCTTTATTGACTATGCCAAGGCCTTTGACTGTGTGGATCACAACAAGCTGTGGAAAATTCTTCAAGAGATGGGAATACCAGACCACCTGACCTGCCTCTTGAGATACCTGTATACAAGTCAGGAAGCAACAGTTAGAACTGGACATGGAACAACAGACTGGTTCCAAATAGGAAAAGGAGTACATCAAGGCTATATATTGGCACCCTGCTTATTTAACTTATATGCAGAGCACATCATGAGAAACGCTGGGCTGGATGAAGTACAAGCTGGAATCAAGATTGCTGGGAGAAATATCAATAGCCTCAGATATGCAGATGACACCACCCTTATGGCAGAAAGTGAAGAAGAACTCAAGAGCCTCTTGATGAAAGTGAAAGAAGAGAGTGAAAAAGTTGGCTTAAAGCTCAACATTCAGAAAACTAAGATCATGGCATCTTGTTCCATCACTTCATGGCAAATAGATGGGGAAACAGTGGATGACTTTTTTTCTGGGCTCCAAAATCACTGCAGATGGTGAATGCAGCCATGAAATTAAAAGACACTTGCTCCTCGGAAGGAAAGTTGTGACCAACCTAGACAGCATATTAAAAAGCAGAGACATTACTTTGCCAACTAAAGTCCGTCTAGTCAATGCTATGGTTTTTCCAGTAAATGTGTATGGATGTGAGAGTTGGACTATAAAGAAAGCTCAGTACAAACAAATTGATGCTTGAACTGTGGTTTTGAAAAAGACTCTTGAGTGTCCCTTGGACTGAAAGGAGGTCCAACCAGTCCATCCTAAAGGAGATTAGTCTTGGGTGTTCATTGGAAGAACTGATGTTGAAGATGAAACCCCAATACTTTGGCCATCTGATGCAGAGAGCTGACTCATTTGAAAAGACCCTGATTATGGGAAAGATTGAGGGCAGGAGGAGAAGGGGATGACAGAGGATGAGATGGTTGGATGGCATCACTGACACAATGGACATGGGTTTGGGTGGACTCCGGGAGTTGGTGATGGACAGGGAGGCCTGGTGTGCTATGGTTCATGGGGTCACAAAATGTCGGATGCAACTGAGTGACCGAACTGAATATCCTTTGGGGTTACTTATGGTTATAAAGGAGACAGAATGCTGTAGTACTGAATGGGTTAACTAACAAATACATAACCAGTTGCTATAGACCAGAGGCTTTGAGGAATCAGTGTACATTTTCTGCCATGATGTTCTTACTGTATACTGAATGAGGCCATGACTGCATCTTGGCTGTGGGGTAGTGTGGGGTCTCCCTCATCCTGAGCTTCTGCATGGTTCTGGCCCCTTTGGTGGCAATTGGGGGCAGGAGAAGACAGCAGGTTAGCATCGTGAGCACCAGAGATTCTCAGCTGAAGGATTGCACTATGTGGTGAGCTGACAGGGAGAATTGGCAATTTTCCAATACTTGGTTTATTTATGAAGTTCAGACAAATAGGAAAAACAACAGAGACTGCTCTCAAGAAGTCTTAAAATATCTCACTACTTGCACCCCTCTAACCAATGACTGAAACATCCCCCCTGGTTCCCTGGTCCTCTGTGCACATCCTTGTGGGTCAGTGTAGATTAGTCAGGAAAATAGAACCCATGCCATGGGAGAGGGAGTTCCATGCAGTGAATTAGTTACATGGGAGATGAAAAAGCCAAAAGGGCAAAATGGTGGTGAGTGAGGCAATGCAGAGATTAGTGATAGTAAGAAGCTCCTCCCACCCTCAGGGCTGGAGGGACTTGGGGAGGAGGTGCCTCCATCAGAGGGTCAGTATCCAGAGCAGGCGCCTGGCCTGGCAGCTGTCAGAGTGGAGACCACAGGGCAAGTGCCCAGACTCTGTAGACTCATCCTGTCTTTCATGCCTGTGATTCTGCTGTGCCATCTGCATCATGTTCGCCTGTTTCTGATTCATTGCCTGCTATCCCCACCATTGGGCTTCTCTGGTGGCTCAGAAGGTAAAAAATCCGCTTGCAATGCAGGAAATCTGGGTTCCATCCCTGGGCCAGGAAGATCCTCTGTAGAAAGAAATGGCAACCCATTCTAGTATTCTTACCTGGGAAATCCCTGGGAAACAGAGGAAACTGGCACACTATGGTCTGTGTAGTCACAAATAGTTGGACACTACTGAGTGACTAAGGAGATCCAACCTGTCTATCCTAAAGGAGATCAGTCCTGGGTGTTCATTGGAATAACTGATGCTGAAGCTGAAACTCCAATACTTTGGGCACCTCATGCAAAGATTTGACTCATTGGAAAAGACCCTGATGTTGGGAGGGATTGGGGGCAGGAGGAGAAAGGGACGACAGAGGATGAGATGGCCATCACCAACTCGATGGACATGGGTTTGAGTAAACTCCAGGAGTTGGTGATAGACAGGGAGGCCTGGCGTGCTGCGGTTCATGGGGTTTCAAAGAGTCGGACATGACTGAGCGACTTAACTGAAGTGATTAAGCACACATACCCACCAACAAAGCAGCAGTAGTATTTTCCCAAATATATAAAATCACATCCCCATACCTTTTGCATATGGAAACTCACACAGAGTGCCTGACCAACCATGACAGCATCTGCTACTTTAATACAGTAGATTTACCTTCTGCTTGATATTTTTCATCATAATACACTTGAAGCATACATGAAAATCACCATTAAAGTTTCATTATAATGGCAGACTCTATATTTTGAATGATCTGTTACCAAATTTCTTTTGTAGTAAACTATGAAACATTATAAAAAACAGCTGTTTTGTTCTTCTTCCAAGATCTTAGTAACATGTTCTCAGACTTCTGTGCAAATCGCATTGTAGTGGAGAACACCCTGTTCTGTTGTCCTGGCCCTGCCTATGAAAGGACTGTGCCCTTTGCCAGGGTCATTAGTGTTTAGGGACTGTCAGTTTAGGGCATGAGTGAGAGAGAGAGAGAGCGAGCGAGCGAGCACATGCGCTCCAGCCCTTGGGAGGGGAGGGGCACAGACATTGGGAGTTTTGGAGAGAAGCTGAGTCTGAATGAAGCCTCTGCTGGGTTGGCAGGCAGAAGATAGACATGAGTTCTGTAACCTGCTCCCTTAGACAGTCAGGTGGGCAGGTGGGGGGAAGGTCTCAGGGACCCAAGTCTCATTCATGAAATGGTGGGGCTTGGTCTCAATCTTGAAGCTTTTAAATATATGTGCGAGCCTCCAAATCATGGGGTAGGGGTTTCGAACTGTGTCTGGCCCAGAGTGGGGGCTCAGCTGTTGATCCCTGTTAAATCATTATCCCCTGAATCTGAATAACAGAGAAGCAGATCCCCAGAACCCCTGGGCTGTCAAGTGCTGCCCGTTCTGGTCATGGCAAACAGTGCCCAACCCTGAAGCCTGTTTCAGGGTGTGAACTCTGGCCCTGACAGACTGTAGAGCTGTGACAGGAGCTGGCGTGGATTATTATCTGTGAGGATCATTGTTTTGTTTTCATAACTGAGTGGAAAGTAGTAAAATAGGAACCCTAGGTGTCGGATAAGAAGAGAAGCTTAAAACATATTTTTCATGTGTTAAAATCTAGCTTCCCCTTGGGAAATTGTATAATTCCTATAAAATATGGGGTTAAGTTTTTTTATGATTCAAAGTAATTGTTGTTAAGTAAGTAACTGTTCCATAATCAGTTTAGTTATTCCCAGAGAAACTTTTCATTTAGAATATTTTCCAGACATTTTTATCCAGAAGTATGAAGTGTCAGTCATTTCAGTAGTGTCTGATGCTTTGCGATCCCATGGGTTGCCTGCCAGTCTCCTCTGTCCATGGGATTCCTTGGGCAAGAATACTGGAGCGGGTTGCCATTCCCTTCTCTAGGGGGTCTTCCTAACCCAGGGACAGAAACTGGGTCTCTCACAATGTAGGTGGATTCTGTACCATTTTATCATGGACTTGTGCTTTTAATCTTTTAGACATTTTACTAATCACACATAAGTTTTTTTTTTTTCTGAACACTTACACTTATTGAGAATTTTCTTTACACTTAGTACATGTAAAGATACAAACACACTTAACTCTGTTTACCTTAGAACTTCACATATTGTGCAGTAATTCGACTTGCACCTGACATACCGAGATTTTGTCCTTCTCCCTCGAGTTGAATTTTACATGCAACAAACAGCACAGCTCTGTGTTTTGTTGTTGTTGTCCCTGTTTAGTCAGGACAAGAAATGCATGTAACACGTGTAAAATTGAAGCTTTATCATGCTGACCCATGATGCCATAATTAATGTCTTCATTCCCCATGTTTTGTTGTTGTTGTTCAGTCCCTAAGTCATGAACAACTCCTTGCGACCCCGTGGACTGCAGTATGCCAGGCTTCTATGTCCTTCACCATCTCCTGGAGCTTGTTCAAACTCATGTCCATCGAGTCAGTGATGCCATCTAACCATCTCATCCTCTGTCATCCCCTTTTCCTCCTACCCTCTATCTTTGTCAGTGTCAGGTTCCAATGAGTCCACTCTTTGCATCAGGTGGCCAAAGTGTTGGAGCTTCAGCTTCAGCATCAGTCCTTCCAATGTATATTCAGGGTTGATTTCCTTTAGGATTGACTGGTTTGATCTCCTTGCAGTTGAGGGTCTCTCAAGAGTCTTTTCCTGCACCACAATATGGAAGCATCAATACTTTGGCACTCAGCCTTCTTTATGGTCCAACTCTCACATCCATACACAACTACAGGAAAATCCATGGCTTTGATTATATTGACCTTTATCAGCAAAGCAATGTCTCTACTTTTTAATAGGTTTTTTATAGGTATTCTTTCAAGGAGCAAGCATCTTTGAATTTTATGGCTGCAGTCACTTCTCAAGTGATTTTGGAACCCAAGAAAATAAAATCTGGCAGTGTTTCCACTTTTTCCATTTCTATTTGCCATTAAGTGATGGGACCAGATAACATGAACTTAGTTTTTCAAATGTTGAGTTTTAAGCCAACTATTTCACTCTCCTCTTTCACCCTCACCAATAAAGTCTTTAGTTCCTCTTCACTTTCTGTCATTAGAGTGGTATCATCAGCATATCTGAGATTGTTGATAGTTCTGTCAGAATTTCAGATTCCAGTTGTGATTCATCTAGCCTGGAATTTTGCATCATGTAGTCTGCATATAAGTTAAGTTAGCAGGGTGACAATATAGCCTCGATGTATTTCTCTCCTGATTTTGAACCAGTCCATTATTACACATTGGTTTCTAACTGTTACTTCTTGTCTGGCATACAGGTTTCTCAGGTGACAGGTAACGTGGTCTATTATTCCCATCTTCTTGAGAGTTTTCCACAGTTTGTTGTGATCCACACAGTCAAAGGCTCTAGTGTAGTCAGTGAAGCAGATATTTTTCTGGAATTACCTTTTTTTCTATGATCCAACAGATGTTGGCAGTTTGATCTCTGGTTCCTCTGCCTTTTCTAAATCCAGCTTGTACATCTGGAAGTTTTCAGTTCATGTACTGCTGAAGCCTAGCTTGAAGGATTTTGAGCATTACTTTGCTAGCATGTGAAATTAGTGCAGTTGTGCGGTGCTTGGAACATTCTTCTGTCCAAATGGGAATCTAGTTTAAAAAAAAAAAAGGAACCTTCATAAAGTCAGTTAAAGCTGCCTCAAATCCCTAAAGAAATAAGATTTGATCAGAGGTCTCCAGGACACAGTATCTTAAAATAGGAAAGACAAAAATGTGGGTTATATTTTACATATCAATTATGCTGACTATTGTTTTCTTTTCCACTTTGTAAAACAATTTGTGTTATTTTATTGAAATAGGTACATTTTTATAAACTTTAATTTGTAGGCATCAGAGACCCCAACCCTACGAGGCCTTTCCTTTACTGTCAGACCTGGTGAACTGTTAGCTGTGGCCGGACCTGTGGGAGCAGGAAAGGTAAGTTACGATGCCTTTTGTCAGCCTGATGCAATGCTTCAGCTCCTGTTAAATTCTCAGAGTTCAGCCCAGAGCTTTGTGTGACACAGTTTGAATTGAGTATAGTATTTCTCTATATTGAGAATAGTATTTCTCTAGGTGTGTTCCATGGAACATTCATTTTATAAGGAAGTTTTGTGTTCAAATAAAATCTGGATAAATGAGCACTGTTTTCCTTCTTGGTGCTTCATGTGGAACAGTTGGGAGCTGCTTGTGGGGAATTTGAACGTCTCAATGAAGGAGATTATTTATGTGACAGTTGTTCAGGATGGATAGTGATAATGGGGTCTTCTTCTCATCTTAGTGGCCCTTCCAGGAAGTCTGGAGGTCATAAAGGCTCTTCCTGGAAGCTTTGAGCATTTCCTCCTGTGACTTGACGTGATCCCATCAGTGCACATGTAGTGAATGTGCAGCCACAGGATGGAGATAGAGGTACAGACATGAGCAAGACCCTGACTATCTGCCTTTCAGAGACAGCCAGGTTCTGGGGCAAGACAGATACACCAACATATTATTTCAGCCCAGTGTGGTGAGAGCTCTGATGGTGTGGATACACACACACCACATCTGAGTGATGTTGAAGATTTGAAGGAAATGTGCACATACACTTGGTCTGAAACAACAAAGTACAGAAATCTAATGTGGGATGTGGGCTCCCCTGGTGGCTTAGTGATAAAAGATTCCGCCTGCCAATGCAGGAGACACAGGTTTGATCCCTGGTCTGGGAGGTTCCCTCTTCCCAGCTGTGGAACATCTAAGCCTATGCACCACAACTGTTGGGCCTCTGCTCTGGAGCCTGGGGGCTGCAACTACTGAGCCCACAGGCTACAACTGCTGAAGCCTGCCCGCTAGAGCCTGTGCTCCTTGATAAGAAAATCCATGCACTGCAATGAAGACCCAGCACAAGCAAAAGTAAATAAAATTAGAATTGTGGTATTCTGTGGTATTCAACATGACATTGTAAAAAATAAATGAAAAAGATAAAAGAACTAAAAATAAATAAATAAAATTATTTTTTTAAATGTGGGATGTGTACATGAAAGGGTGCTGATTTCCTCTGTGATGGACTTTTGCTCTGCAGACACAACTCACTCCAGGGTTCTTTCAATTAATCATCTTTGGATATATTCTTCATACATAGTTTTTTAAGACTAAAATACTTCTTTGTCAAGTAAAGTATACCCAGATGCAGGAGCAACTGCACTAAACATCAGATGCAAGAAATACATATCCTGCTGGGCTGCTCTGCTAGAGAAGAATGTTAACATTCTCAATTATTCTTTCACGAGTAGAATTTCATTTGGGGGATATTTGGGCAGAGTAGATAGTTTATGCTGTTAATATATTCCTTATCCGCCATTGTTTTCATTTCAAAACTTAAAGTTTCATTAGTGTTATTTTCATTTTTATTTTTTTATCTCAACTGAGAGGGCTGTACTTTATCCTGTTCTGAAGGAAAGTGTTCTATCGTGTATCAAGCACCAGGGTGGGGTCGGCTGTGCTGTGGGGCGTGTTCCCTCCTTAGTGCTGCCTGTTCACGTGTGTGTGTTGCCTTCTGTTTCAGTCGTCACTGTTATGTGCTCTGCTGGGGGAGCTGCCCTTGAGTCAGGGGAAGGTCAGCGTGCACGGGAGGATCGCATATGTTTCTCAGCAGCCCTGGGTGTTCTCAGGAACTGTGAGGAGTAACATTTTATTTGGGAAGAAATATGAAAAGGAACGATATGAAGAAGTAATAAAGGCTTGTGCTTTGGAAGAGGTGAGCAATGACTTCTGATTGCATATACTTGAATTTCAAATGATGATAGTAGTTTAAACTACAAGTTTGTTAGATGGATGAAACTGGAGCCCATTATACAGAGCGAAGTAAGCCAGAAAGATAAAGACCATTACAGTATACTAACACATATATATGGAATTTAGAAAGATGGTAACGATAACCCTATATGCAAAACAGAAAAAGAGACTCCGATGTATAGAACAGACTTGTGGACTCTGGGAGAAGGCGAGGGTGGGATGTTTCAAGAGAACAGCATCAAAACATGTATATGATCTAGGGTGAAACAGATCACCAGCCCAGGTTGGGTGCATGAGACAAGTGCTCGGGCCTGGTGCACTGGGAAGACCCAGAGGGATTGGGTGGAGAGGGAGGTGGGAGGGGGGACCGGGATGGGGAATACATGTAAATCCATGGCTAATTCATTTCAATGTATGACAAAACCCACTGCAATGATGTAAAGTAATTAGCCTCCAACTAATAAAAATAAATGAAAAAACAAAAAACAAAAAACAAAAAACTACAAGTTTGTTAAAAGTTATTTTTAAAAAACAGATTTTTGAATGTTGCTTAATATTTAAGCTGGTCTCTGGGTAAATATGCAGGCATATTTACATATGGTGCCATTTTAATCCTTATGGGATAAAGACACTCACAGAATACCTTTTTTGGAGGTGGGGGGGGGGAGTTGTTTCTTTCTGTGATGTTTCATTCACTTTCAACTTCTTTAAATGGAAATTTACAAAAAGATAAAGCATGGTATAATGAATCCTCATGTACCCACTGCCAGCTTCAGCCATAATCAGCAGGTGGCCAGTCTTGCTGCATCCCTACCCCTTCCAGCCCCACCCCCACCCCAGAGTATTGTGAAGCAGATCCTAGACCTCAAATTAGTTCATCTGTAAACATTTCATTAGTTTTCTCTAAAAGACAGGAAAGCTTTGGGGAAAAATCACTACTTTATTTCACCTGAAAAATACCTCAAGTTCCTGAGTATCATCCACCTGCTAGTCTGTGTTTGCATGTTGTTGATCATCTCACTGAAAAATTTCCTTCACCATTGTTTGAATCCACATAAGGTCTGCCCCCTGCACTTGACCGATGCCTCCTTGGTCCCCTTCAGTCTGTGAGTTTCTCTCTCCATTTAATCTTTTACTTGTAATTTATTATTTAAGGAAACTGGAATGGTTTAAAATTTCTTTTTAATACTGCATCATTTCACTGAGGGAGAGATTATTTTCAGAAATGACATTGAGTTGCACAGAAAATGATGAGATAAAAGGTTTAAACTGTACATTGAGATTTAACTAAGATTAATGAATAAGTGATGAGAACTAAACTGATAGGAGAATGCAATTTGGCAAAAAGAAAGGAAAAAGTTAAATAATGTTAAATACTATGTTACTTTCTCAGGTTGTAAAAATCAGTGAATAATAGCATTAAAGGTCTCCCCCTGGGGTCTGTTCAGTGTGGTCTGGACATCTGACTGTTCTTTTGTACTGTGAGGTAAAGACAGGGACATATTTTCAAAGGAGTGGTATTAAAGGTTCCAAACCTGCTTTCTGAGAAAATTATAATTCTCTTCGAACAATGGCTTGAACATCATAGGTTTTATCAGGTGCTTGTGTGTGTGCTAAGTCACTTCAGTCGTATCCAACTCTGTAGCCCTATGGACTATAGCCCACCAAGCTCCTCTGTCCATGGGACTTTTCAGGCAAGAATACTGGAGTGGGTTGGGGCATCATCCCAACCCAGGGATGAACCTGGATCTCTTATATCTCCTGCATTGGCAGGTGGGTTCTTTACCACTAGAGCCACCTGGGAAACCTTGAATCAGGTGAGCAGCATTTTATAATGATGTGGACAAACAGAATTGCTTGTTTAATGGGCTTATTTCTTTACTCTGAGTTCTTGTTCATGAGTGATCATACATTTTCAGAAATGATGTCAAATTAGCAGGAATGAACTGGATATTTATTAAAAGGTATAGATACCGTATAAGTAAAGAAGGGAAAGCAAATGTAGAACAGTGAGAAGAGTAGCTCCCATTTATTTAGAATTCACATGCAAATCAATTTTCTCTTTCACACATGTGCATGCACACACATACAAAAGTTTTTGAGTTATTCATTCTTTAACAGTGTCTTTGATATTCCCTTCCTCATTTTATAGTTAGTAAAACTGAGTTTGGAGAGATGAGACACCTCATCTCTGCATTTGCAGCTCAGCTCAAGTTCAGATCCTGGGGCTGATGCTTTGCTGCAGCCTCATGGGAGCAACGTGGACAGTATCCGGGGCTTCACCCACCCTGGGGCGTCTGTGCAGCACAGACTTTGGTGGGAAGGGGCCCTGCCAGACTGGACTGTGCAGCGATTCTTCTGTACGTGATGTGACATTTATAAACATGGGCTGCTCTCCTGTTCTCTGTGTAGTTGGGACATGGTCAGGGTTCCTTGTGCACATTTCCTCCTTGGCAGGAAGGGAGGGTCAAGGTAGAAAAGTAACAGACAGCAGAGCCCTGGCCCTGGCTTGATCACCTGCCTACATCCATCCATCCACCCATCCATCTATATAAATATAACAAAAATTTCTCCTTACTCTTCCTATTCCCACCTCCTCCAAATCCTGGAGGATAAAACAAAAAACAAGCCTTTTTTATATTACATCTGTTAATAACAACTAGATGTATTATACCAGACCTAATTGAAGTAATCCTTTAATTTCATTGAGCTGAAAATGTTTCTGTAACAAAATAGGGAGACATGAAGTAATCACATTGGCAACAGTGATTCAGGCTGATGACATCAACTCCAAGGTCTAGGAGTCAGAAGGTTCAGGAATTGAGTCCCAGTCTCTCTGTTGATCAGGTGTGTGGTTTGGCTAATTGATGCTTACAAGCCTGTTTCTTCATCTGCAAAATGGAGATAATAAAACTATCAACCTCATGAGGTTGTTTTGAGCATGAAATGTGGTTGTGATTTTAAAGAATCTGATTGCTAGGGACATAACAAGCACTCTGTAAGTATTAGAATGATTTTGAAAATAAATCAATTCTTAATTATAAGCTCAGCCAGTTTTTGGTAAAATTACAAACATAAAATGTGACATGTAAGAAAGAAGGTATCTAAATATTTAACTTCCATTGTTTGATTTGATATTTCTATAGGTGCTCTACACATAGTACATAATATAAACCAACAATAACAATATTCTGTTACCATAATATAAGCAATGTATTATGTAACATTTGTCTAGATCTTATCTTTAACCACTGAGAGGCTTTTGAAAATATTTAGTCAACATGTATTTAAAGGTACCAAATTGATAAATTCTAGTTTAATATTAGATCACTTACTTGGACATTTTCTTTTCAGATTGCCTGTCAATCTTAGGATGATAAGTGTGTTGATCCTTCTGTGTCTAGGTATAGAGGCCTTCAAGGCTTGAGTTAGTTTAGTGTTGCCTAATTTCAAATATTCTCTTCAGTCACCACCTGCGCAGCATGATGTGAAAGAGCAGAAGGCTATGAACTGACATGAGCTGGTTCAGATTCCTGCTCTTCTGTTTAACAGCTGACCATCCTCAGACCAGTGATGTGACCTCACTTAGTCTCAATTTCCTCATCTGTGAAATGGGGCCAGTACTTCCTGTGAGTTTGTTTTGAGGATTAGAGATAATCATCGTCAGGGTCCAGCTTGGTGCACAGATCTTACCCCCAGGAGCTGAGAGAAGCTGTGTACACATGTACAAATGATGGAGCAGAATAAGACGGTCCTTCATGAGAGATGAGAGATGTAAATAGAGCCTTAGGAGCCCAGCAGGAAGAGATGAGTCCAGAATGGTTTCATGGGAGAGTGTGTTTGGGCTAAACCTGGAAAGATGGGCAGGATATTGACAGGACGTGAGAGGAGGGGCGAGTCCAAGTGGAAGAAAAGCTGTGAAGGAAGATGTGTTCTTCCCACTGCTTGACTTGAGTCCAGCCATCCCATGCCAGGGTCTCACGTCATGCCCGCATTAATCACTTCAGCAGTGTGCTCCATGGTGTCTCTACTGTAGGTCTCCTCCATCACTGAAGGGCCCTTGACGTGCTCTGGGCAGATGGTATCAAACCTGCATCGCCATTTCCTAGTTTGCCTCTAGTTTGTGTGCCTGCTGTTCAGTGAGAATTGGTTATATTTAACTTAGAATAAAATAATAATAAAAATATTAAAAATAACTTAGAAGGGAATGACAGAGGGTGATATGGTTGGATGGCATCACTGTCTCAATGGGCATGAGTTTGAGTAAACTCCAGGAGTTGGTGATAGACAGGGAGGCCTAGCATACTGCAGTCTATGGGGTTGCAAACAGTCGAACATGACTGAGGGACTGAACTGAACTGAACTTAGAATAACAAGCATGAATAAAAACACCTTCCTGTCAGTGGAAGGAACTGTAATATATTCTCAGCTTAAGCTTTTCATCTTTAATAAGAAAATGGTGACTGAGAAATCAGCTTGATTTGTTTTACTTCAAATCCTCAAAAATATTTTTCCCCTTGGTGACTTGTTCATAAATAATTTGCAGTGTCAACAATACACTTGAAGTATTACTACCAGACTCAGGGATAGTTTCTTATGTCCTGGAAAGAGAGGCCATAAGTGCCTTTTCTAGAATGTGGTTAAGATTGCTATGTTACAACGTGGTGCTATTTTAATAAGAAAACCGTTTGAACAAGAGAAAATCAAAGCTTAAAAACTAAGTGGAACAGTTTGCAAGGACTGTCAAAAGTGAAAGAGAGGCCAAGTGATTCTGTGTGTGTGTGTGTGTGTGTGTGTGTGAAGCTGAGAACACAGCTCATTCTTTTTTTAAAATGAAAACCAAAAGCAAGAGATGGTATTAATTTCTGAGCTCAAGAAAGAAAGAATGTGAAATAATGAGAAATTGTGAGGGCTTCATCTTCAGAAAGGAACTGCAGAAGTGAGGGCTTCAGTGAGGGCTTCATCTGCAGAAATGTACTGCTGTGCTTCCTAGTTGATGCCTGAGGGGTTTAGTGATAAAAACTCCAAACAAACTGTTTGTCTATGTCAAAATGTGCCAAGTGATAACTATAGACAACGTAAGACTTCTAATAGAATACTGTGTAACTTAAGCCTGATTTTTATCTTGTTATTTTGGGAATGTTCTTGTGATATATTCTTTTTTCCCCCATCATGCTCTAGGGGAAATAGGCTGATTTGTCTATTTACTTTTTAAATAATATTCATACATAACTACTTTTGATTGATTCCCAGATCCTCAAGTTACAACTTCATTTCCTTCTTAGCTTTGAGTTTGTCCTGCTTTCACAAACAAGCATCTACTTAGTCCAGCTGATCTGCTGGGTGTCCCTTGAGCACACTGTTTCTTTCCTTTTGGTTTTCCTGCCTAGTTTGCTCTTTCTGTTCCCATTTCTTATACAGACCTTGTCTTCCACTCTGTCACTTGACTTAAGTATCACTGTGAGGACTTGGGTCAGGTGTTATCCCTTCTCTGAAAGTGGGAAGCTGAGGCTGAGATCAGCATAATGTCCAGTTGAAGACACACTCATTCCCTGATGAAACAAGTCCTGTACCTTAACCAACCTGGGCCACTAGCTCTCATACCTGTGTCTCTAGCACAGACCTTCACAGCTGCATGTCCAGCTGCACCATGACATCACCGAGAGGTCATCTCAGCTTGTCCGCAAGCGAAGTCTCCTAAGCCTGTATCCAGCATCTCCCCCAACTCAGTAAATGGAGACCCTGTTCTTCCCCTTCCTCACCCCAAACACCACAGTCTCCTCTTCTCTTTTGGTTCACACCCATACTGTCTGCAGGTCTTACAGACTCCACCTTCCAAATGTGTCTGGAGTGTGACCCTGTCTCTCCATTCCTGCTGCTTCCACTATGGTCCTGACCACAGTCATCTGTCACCTAGATTTTCCCATTAGCCTTCTCATTTGTACCCACCCTAACCCTTCCCTACTTACTGTTTTCTGCAAAGCACAGGAGTGATTCCTTAAAAGCCTCAGACCACATCAGTCTTTCCCTCCCTCTCCCCCTCTTACTGGAGTGACCCCAGGCTCCTCCTGCTCTGTCTCAGCCCTCACTCCCCTCATTCTCACTCTGCTCTCCTGCCTCATTGTCCTGAACCCCTTGGGCATCTCCCAGTGGCCCCTGCACTCACCCCTCCCTCTGTGAGGAGTAGCCTCTCCAGGTCTGCCTGAGTGCCCCCACCTCCCCCAGATCTGCTCACACCCCCTCTGAGCAGAGTCCCTCACACCCCAGTGTGGACTCATTTCCCTCCTTCACTCTCCATCCCCCGAGCCGGCTTCCTTTTCATTCTCCTCCTCAGTACTTGCACTCAGGTTATTTTCCATATCATCCCCCTCCCACCATGGAGAGAAACTCTAGGAGCTTTGTTTCCTCACAACTGAGTTTGTTGATCCACAATAAATATCTGTTAAAATGGTTAAATGCATAGGTGATGTGAAAAACTAAAGAATGAAAACAAATATAAAACACTGAGAGGTTTTTTTCTCTTTTCTTTTTTTTTTTTTTTTATGTTCAAGGTTACAGTTTAGTTACTCTAGTATATATCCACTGTTGTGGCTCCCCTGGTGGCTCAGTGGTAAAGAATCCACCTGCCAGTGCAGGAAAAATGCATCTGATCCCTGGGTAGGGAAGATCCCCTGGAGAAGGAAATGGCATCCAACTCTAGTAGTCTTGCCTGGAAAATCCCATGGACAGAGGAGCCTGACGGGCCATACATAGTCTATGGGACTAGGAACAGTCAAACATGACTTAGCAGCTGACATGCATGCACGTTGATCAAATACTTGTATGAAGAATTAACACTAAAAGTGTAAGATGGTAGTATAATATATTTTAAATCTTTTTCTTATTCTCTTTTCCTATCTCCATATAGGATTTACAGCTTTTGAAGGAAGGAGATCTAACTGAGATAGGAGACAGAGGAATCCCGCTAAGTGAAGGACAGAAAGCCCGGGTCAGCCTCGCCAGGTAAATGGGGTTTCAGTTGCCATCCTGCCCCTCCTCCTCCATGGCTCCTAGTGGACGTGAGCACACAGACCCCATTCCTGGCTGGGCCTGTGTGAAACAGGGTCTTGGCACTTTCCCTGGGCTTGTAGAAGGAACATGAAGTTGTTGGACACCATCATAATTCAGAGATGGGACCCATTTAGATCTCCTTCCTTCAAAAGCTGTAAATCGTATATGGAGATAAGAAAGGGGAATAGGAAAAAGATTTAAAATATATTCTACTACTATCTTATACTTTTAGAGATGGGCGTGTGAAGTGTCTTCTGACATCTCTCTACATTTTCTAGAGCCGTGTATCAGGATGCAGACATCTACCTCTTGGATGATCCACTCAGCGCAGTGGATGCAGGAGTCAGCAGGCACTTGTTCCAACAGTGAGTTTTCTCCTTTCTTCTATCATTTCTACTTTCTAAGAAACCTGTAGAGATCAGGGAAGAGAGCTCAGGAAAGCCTTTGTGCTTCAGGAGACTCAGCTCGCTTTGCCCTGGTGTTCCTCCCTCCCCTCCCTTCCCTCCACAGAAGATCCATCGTAGAGAAATTTTGCATCATGTTGAGGTCAAGATAGGAAAATAGAGAAGGTACTTACAGTGAGTGGAGGCCAGTGGAGTCTGTGCTCTAGGGAGTGAGGGATTGATGGCAGATGTCCCCCTGCTACTTGCAGTGGATGGATCCAGACACTGTGGATGGATCTAGGCCTCAGGGATAAAAAACATGATGTAGGGTTTTTAAATAAGAGAGTGAGCCTCCATAACCTGCTACTTGACTGCCAGTTCTTTGTTTAAGGCACATTAGTAGCAAGGTTTTCAATACTGACACATGGCTTATGTGGAAAGACCTCGTTAGTTTATGCTTGTTATTCTATCACTTTGAAAATAAATTCTATATTAAACCTAGACTTAATAAAGTCTAGAATTTGAGAATCATTTATTCCACATCTGAGTATGATTTCAATAATTTTACTTATTTCATGGATGCTTAATAGAATCAATACTTAATCCTACAATGTAGGGTCAACTATAATCTGGCTTAAGTCTTTTTTCATTAATTAATTTTTTTATTGAAGGATAATTGCTTTACAGAATTTTGTTGTTTTCTGTCAGACCTCAACATGAATCAGCCATCAGTTCAGTTCAGTTTAGTCGCTCAATTGTTTCTGACTCTTTGTGACCCCGTGAATCGCAGCACAGCAGGCCTCTCTGTCCATCACCAACTCACAGAGTTTACTCAAACTCGTGTCCATCGAGTTGGCGATGCCATCCAGCAATCTCATCTTCTGTCGTCCCCTTCTCTTCCTGCCCCCAATCCCTCCCAGCATCAGGGTCTTTTCCAATGAGTCAACGCTTCGCATGAGGTGGCCAAAGTATTGGAGTTTCAGCTTCAGCATCAGTCCTTCCAATGAACACCCAGTACTAATCTCCTTTAGGATGGACTGGTTGGATCTCCTTATAGTCCAAGGGACTCCCAAGAGTCTTTTCCAACACCACAGTTCAAAAGCATCAATTTTTCTGCACTCAGCTTTCTTCACAGTCCACTCTCACATCCATACATGACCCCTGAAAAAACCATAGCCTTGATTAGATGGACCTTTGTTGACAAAGTAATGTCTCTGCTTTTTAATATGCTATCTAGGTCAGTCATAACTTTCCTTCCAAGGAGTAAGCATCTTTTAACTTCATGGCTGCAATCACCATCTGCAGTGATTTTGGAGCCCAAAAGAATAAAGTCTGACACTGTTTCCCCATCTATTTCCCATGAAGTGATGGGACCAGATGCCATGATCTTAGTTTTCTGAATGTTCAGCTTTAAGCCAACTTTTTCACTCTCCTCTTTCACTTTCATCAAGAGGCTTTTTAGTTCCTCTTCACTTTCTGCCATAAGGGTGGTGTCATCTGCATATCTGAGGTTATTGATATTTCTCCTGGCAATCTTGATTCCAGCTGTGCATCTTCCAGCCCAACATTTCTTATGATGTACTCTGCATATAAGTTTAATAAGCAGGGTGACAATATACAGCCTTGACGTACTCCTTTTCTATTTGGAACCAGTCTGTTGGTCCATGTCCAGTTCTAACTGTTGCTTCCTAACCTACATATAGGTTTCTCAAGAGGTGGGTCATAGATATACATATATCCCCTCTCTTTTTAACCTCCCTCCCGTCTCCCTCCCCATCCCACCCTCCTCTGTTGATACAGAGCCCCTGTTTGAGTTTTTTGAGCCATACAGAAAAATTCCTGCTGGCTATCTATTTTACACATGGTAATGTACGTTTCCATACATCTCACCCTCTCCTCTCCTCTCCCCATGTCCGTAAGACTATTCTCTATATCTGTTTCTCCATTGCTGCTCTGTAAATAAATTCTTCAGTACCATTTTTCTCGATTCTGTGTATATGAGTTATAATACGATATTTATCTTTCTCTTTCTGACTTATTTCACTCTGTATAATAGGTTCTAGGTTCATCCACCTCATTAGAACTGACTCAAATGTGTTCCTTTTTATGGCTGAGTAATATTCCACTGTGTATATGTACCACAAATTCTTTATCCATTCATCTGTCGATGGACATCTAGGTTGCTTCCATGTTCTAGCTACTGTAAACAGTGCTGCAATGAACAGTGGGATACATGTGCCTTTTTTGATTTTGGTTTCCTCAGGGTATATGCCTAGGAGTGGGATTGCTGGGTCACATGGTGGTTTTATTCCTAGCTTTTTAAGGAATCTGCATACCATCTTCCATAGTGACTGTATCAATTTACATTCCTACCAACAGTGCAAGAGCATTCCCTTTTCTCTACACGCTCTCCAGTGTTTATTGTTTGTAGGCTTTTTGATGATGGTATGAGGTGATATCTCATTGCGGTTTTGATTTGCATTTCTCTAATAATGAGTGATGTTGAGCATCTTTTCATGTGTTTGTTAGCCATCTGTGTGTCTTCTTTGGAGAAATGTCTGTTTAGATCTTTTCCCCACTTTTTGATTGTGTTATTTGTTTTTCTGGTATTGAGTTGTATGAGATTGTTGTATATTTTGGAAATAATCCTTTGTCTGTTGTTTCATTTGCTATTATTTTCTCTCATTCTGAGGGCTGTCTTTTCACCTTGCTTATAGTTTCCTTTGCTGTGCAAAAGCTTTTAAGTTTAATCAGGTCCCACTTGTTTACTTTTATTTTTATTTCCATTACTCTAGGAGGTGGGTCATAGAGGATCTTGCTTTGACTTATGTCATCGAGTATTCTGCCTATGTTTTCCTCTAAGAGTTTTAAAGTTTCTGATCTTATATTTAGGTCTTTAATCCATCTTGAGTTTATCTTTGTGTATGGTGTTTGGAAGTGTTCTAAATTCATTCTTTTACATGTAGCTGTCCAATTTTCCCAGCACCATTTATTGAAGAGGCTGTTTCTGCCCCATTGTATATTCTTGCCTTCTTTGTCAAAAATAAGGTACCCTTAGGTGCATGGGTTTATTTCTGGGCTTTCTATCTTGTTTCATTGGTTTATATTTCTGTTCTTGTTCCAGTACCATATTGTCTTGATGACTGTAGCTTTGTAGTATAAACTGAAGTCAGGAACATTGATTCCTCCAGCTCCATTCTTCTTTCTCAAGACTGCTTTGGCTATTCAAGGTCTTTTGTGTTTCCATATGAATTGTGAAATGTTTTGTTCTAGTTCTGTGAAAAATGTCATTGGTAATTTGCTAGGGATCACATTGAATTTGTAGATTCCATTTGGTATTATAGTCATTTTCACAGTATTGATTCTTTCTACCCAGAAACATGGAATCTGTCTCCATATGTTTATGTCATCTTTGATTTCTTTCATTAGTGTTATAATTTTGTGTCCAGTTCTTTTGTCTCATGGGTAAGTTTTCTTAGATATTTAATTCTTTTTGTTGCAATGGTGAATGGGATTGACTCCCTAATTTCTCTTTCTGATTTTTCATTGTTACTATATAGAAATGCAAGTGATTTCTGTGTATTGACTTTATATCCTGAAACTTTGCTGAATTCACTGGTTAGCTCTAGTAATTTTCTGATACTATCTTATAGGGTTTTCAATTACAGTTTCATGTCATCTGCAAATAGTGAGAGCTTTACTACTTTTCCGATCTGGATTCCCTTTATTTATTTTTCTTCTCTGTTTGCTGTACCTAGGACTTCCAGTACTATGTTGAATAATAGTGGTGAAAGTGGACACCCTTGTCTTGTTCCTGATCTTAGGGGGAGTGCTTTCAATTTTTCACCATTGAGAATAATGTTTGCTGTAGGCTTATCCTATATGGCCTTTACTATGTTGAGGTAGGTTCCGTCTATGCCCATTTCTTGAAGCATTTTAATCATAAATGGGTGCTGAATTTTGACCAAGGCTTTTTCTGCCTCTATTATCATGTAGTTTTTATCTTTCAGTTTGTTAATATGGTGTATCACAATGATTGATTTGCATATATTGAGGAATCATTTCATCCCTGAAATGAACCCAATTTGATCATGGTATATGAGTTTTTTGATGTGTTGCTCAATTCTGTTTACTAAAATTTTGTGGAGGATTTTTGCATCTATGTTCACCAGTGCTATTGGCCTGTGTTTATGTGTGTGTGTGTGTGTTGTCTTTGTCTAGTTTTGTTATTAGGATGATGGCAGCCTCATAGAATGAGTTGGAAGTGTTCCTTCCTCTGCAATTTTTTTGAAAAAGTTGTAGAAGGATAGGCATTAGTTCTCCTCTAAATGTTTCATAGAATTCTCCTGTGAAGCCACCTGGTCCTGGGATTTTGTTTTTTGGGAGAGTTTTGATCACAGCTTCACTTTCAGTGCTTATTAAGGTTGCTTATTTCATTTCTTTCTGGTTTAGTTTTGGAAGATTGAACTTTTCTAAGAATCTGTCCATTTCTTTCAGGTTATCCATTTTATTGGCATATAGTTGTTTATAATAGTCTCTTATAATCATTTGTATTTGTGCATTGTCTGTTGTAACCGCTCTTTTTTCATTTCAAATTGTGTTGATTTGATTCTTCTCTCTTTTTTTCTTGATGAGTCTGGCTAAAGTTTTGTCAATTCTGTTTATCTTCTCAAGAATCAGCTTTTAGTTTTATTAATCTTTACTATTATTTCTTTCATTTCTTTTTCTTTTATTTCTGCTCGGATCTTTATATCTTTCCTTCTACTAATTTTTGTGGGTTTTTTTTTTTTGTTGTTGTTGTTGTTCTTCTTCTCTTTCCAGTTGTTTTAGGTGTAAAGTTAGATTGTCTATTTGATGTTTTTCTTGTTTCTTGAAGTAGGATTATATTGCTATAAACTTCCCTCTTAGAACTGCATCCCACAGATTTTGAGTTGTCATGTTTCATTGTCATTTGTTTCAAGAAATTTTTTGATTTTCCTTTT